TGTAACCAGCACAGATGACATCAAGTTGGTTTCAACTCATAGCAACCTTACAAACAACAGAACAGAACAGTTCCTGGCCCTGTACTATTCCACAATTGTTCCTAGGCCTGAGCCCGCTGTTAGAGCTGTGGTGTCAATCCATCTATTTGGGGGGCTTCCTCTTTTCCTCTGCCATTCTACTTCACCAAAGATGATGTTCTTCTCCAGGGACCAGTCTCTCCTGACAATATGTCTAAAGCATGTAAGACAAAGTCTTCCCATCCTTGACTCTAAAGAGCACTCTGACCATACTTTTTTCAAGACAGATTGGCTTGTCCTTTTAGCAGTCCCTGGTACTTTCAAAATTCTTCTCCAGCACCATAATTCAAATGCATCAGTTCTTCTGTCTTCCTTCTTCAATGTCCATCTCTGACATGCGTATGAGGCAGTTGAAAATACCATGGCTTGGGTCAGAGACACCTTAGTCCTCAAAGTAACATCCTTGTTTTTCAATACTCTAAGTCTTGTGCAAATATAACATTTCCACATACTCTGTTCTGAATCTTTTAAAAGAATCATGTAACAGTATTCTTTTGAAGATCATTTCATAACATATAGAGTTTTACTTATTTTTACATTCTCCTCCTCCTGCACATATTTTCTGTATATGGAAGAATGAATTATTGAATTGAGCATCACATATGAGAGGCATCAGGCTGCTTCCATTCTTTTTCTGCTTATGAAGACTCATTCAGTGAGCATCCTTTAAAGCATCATTTCTAGTTTGTATCGCCAGTTAGTAGACTAACTCTCGAGAAGTGCACGTGTGGGGGCAAAGGTCTGAGCATTTGTCATCTTGGCCATGTCCGCCGCCTGCTTTCTATAGGAGTGCGTCAGTTAACATTCACACCAACAATCTTTGAGCATTTCAGTATGTTTTGAATCAGGGATTTGTCTTTTTCTACACTTCTTTAACATATTTTTAAAGCAGGGTGTATTCAAAGAATGCACACTGAATTTTTAATAGCCTGAACTAGTGATGCTTACCTAAATATGAAGACGAGAATCACTTTTGAAATCTTTTCAGAGTAGGGATGTGTTGGTGGTACCCCCATATCTACTGAACCAGTATCTTGAATGGGCTAGGGAGGGCATCTATATTTAAACAGGCTTCCTTGGGGGGTAGGAAGGATTAAGCCCTCTGATCCTAGCAGAAAGATTGATGGTTGGAACCCGCCCAGAGGCACTTCAGGAGACAGACATGGTGATCTGCTTCTGAAAGATCACAGCCGTAAATAGGGAGCTGTTGTAATTTTTTTAAAATCAGTATTTATGAAGCATACACTTGTAAAGGGATAGAGGGAAGACTGGTCACGTAATAAGAGGGTGAAACTTTGTTCACGTTTACTGTGCATCTGCGTGTGACTTCAGGCATTTCACAACTTGACGTGAGGGTAAACTATTATTGCAAAAGAATTTTAGAGACGAAACGGTTTAAATCACTATGTATGTCAAAGTCTTTAAACTAACTTGATTTCTTCCTTAGGAATAAAAACAGGGAATAAACAAGACAAAACAAAATGCAGAGTCATTGAATTCTCCAAGGAAAAGCTTATGGGTATTATATATACATGTATCATTCTGTCTAAGGAGGTCCTATTGGGGATGCGCTTTTAAATACTGTAGGATCCCTCCACTCCCACTAGGTGTCAGAAGACACCCATTGATAGTCACACTACTCTGGACAAACATTTTGGCAGGATTGCACTATTTCGTCTCAAATGTTGTGTTCCAACGCTTCAGAAATAGAGATTTCAGTAGTCACTGTGGTCAAGTCGCTGCTGACTCATAGTGAGCCTATGGGACAGAGTAGACGAGCCCCTGTGGAGTTCTGGGATGGTCCCTTTAAGGGGGTAGAAGGCCTCCAAGAGTCTGGTGGCCTCCAACTTCGGGCCTTGTGGCTCACAGCCCCCTGTATACCCACTATGTCACCAGGGCTATTTCAGTAGTACATTAAAAAAAAGTAGCTGTCAAAGGCAGGTATTATTTCACGTATATGAATTTTCTCTCATGTGAGGCCACTCACTCTAAGTTACTGTTTTACGGTAAATAACCTATCTGTATTGTCGAGAGTGAGGGAATAGTATCTCTGAGCATATCTATCTCACTGCTTGACTTTTTCTGTGAAAAATATCCATTTCTTGAAACTTAGAATAGATCGTTAGTAAGGTTAATCCTTACCTATTCCTCCTTTTGGAGAACAGAGGTAAAATGATGATTGGAGCTCACGTGATACGTGATTAGCGTCTCTGTGTGAGCAGGACTTGCAACATCCTGTTTGCGTCTATCTGATTGAAAAAACCAATTTAGAACAGAATGAGACCCTTGAAATGGTAGA